CGATTTAATTGCCTCAAGGTGGTAGTAGCTTCTGCCCTTTCTCAGGTTATGCTCAAATGGAATATAGTCTTAACACGAGTTAAGCAATATGCAATAAACATGCTGGAAGGTTTGTTTTTTCCAAGCGAGGGCTTCGCAATGGCTCACACCTGCAGTACAATCGTCACGAGCAAGTGTGAAAATATGTGGCAGAACTGCAGCATCATTTCCGCAACAGCTGCAACTGACCATTGTGCAATGGTCAATTGCAGCTTCGGCTGTGCAATATCCACTGTGCAATGGACAAACATTCCAGAACTGACAGCCAATAGGCAAACCAGCAACTTGCCTGTGTCTACGTGCCAGACTTGCATTTCACGCTTTGTAAAGTTGATAAAAACTGGCAGTGGTTGTTGTTAACTTAATTTCAAACAACAAAATTATAAATTGAAGAGTTGTACAACACATTTGAGTAAGCAGTTTCTCAGCAATCAGTTGCAGAGGTCGACAGGCTTTCTCATGTGCAATGCTGTTACCGTAATCTCGGCATCAGTGCTTTTTCACATATTACAAACAGTCAGTGCTCAATATCACATTCTTGCAGGTCAAGAATAGCGAAAAAGAGGCCGCATCTCCACGTGGTGAATGATGTTGATTGGGGCGAAGCTTTGGTGGTGCTTATGATACTGATTTTATTGTTCATAGGTAGTGTCGATTTTTTTTTTATTGCTCATAGGTAGTGCTGAGCTCCGGGTTGCGTTTCGACTTCCATCTTGTCTATAAACGCTGAGCCAATGCATGCAAAGTTTAACGCGATTATATACGCATTTGACCGCAGCGCCCTCTCCTGTATAGACATTGAGCGGCTACATGCAACGGAGTGTAGCGTAGTGGTTAAGACATCTGCCTTGTAAGCAAGCGGTTCAGAGATCAAACCCCGGGCGTACGTTGTTTTTTTTCTCAAAAAGTGGGCTGATTCCGGAGGCAGTGCAATCGACGTAAGCATGGACGCCGGACGGATGGACAAGGCTAGACCCTAAGGAGCTTCGCCCCTAAAAAGCGTTCCCCCCCCCCCCCCCCCCCCAACCCCCACACACACACAGAGCTTGCTACTCTCCATAACTGGTGGTTTCTCCTCTCCAGCATCCACCCCAGTAAAGTGAAGAGAGTGCAACACTTTGTGGGTCCTGTTATTATTAACATGTAAGGTACTATAGCTTGGTCTACTATGGCAGCACTCTTAACCGCAGTAGTAATTTTCACCGCAGCTGCCCGGCTGTGAAGCAAGAACTGAACAAAGCAGTGAACATTTGTTCGTAACTATACTCCGTTTCACCTTCAGTCCGAGCGCAGTGGACGCCACGAGCCACCCCAGCCGATCCAGCGCCGGGAGAAAGTCGCGTGACCTGCCGGTGGGGCGGGGCGACACAGGGTGCTCAAGGTCGCATGACACTCCCTCAACGCCGCATTGGCTGGGATGGCTCCTAGCGTCCGCTGTGCTCGGACGGAAGGTGAAACGGAGTATAGGCCATCGTTTTTTATTTATAAAAAAAATCTGCTAACTTTTTTTATTTTTTAAATTTCGGTGATCTGCTCGAAAATACACCAAAAACGTAATCATAAAAAAAAAATCGGATTAAAAAATTAATTTGTCCAGAAGGGAAGCTTGGAGAAAAATGGTCCCAGCTGGAGCAACAATTTCTAGAAATCTGCGTTTTTAGGGATTCCGTAGTTTTGACAACGGATGTTTATCGATGCTTACTGGCATTTCTCGGATAAAACTGGAAAATCTACGGCCTATCCACAACGTACCGTGCACCACAAAGCACCCTAGAGTATCACATCTGGCTAGTTTGCTTCACCACCTCTAAAAGTTTCCCTCAGACGTAGCCATCAAGGAAGTCAGTGTCTTACATCGTTGATTCACTCGAGACCCCGTTTTGGGTTTCTTCTTTTTTATTAAGACCTTGCATCTTGCCGCTGTTACCAAGCTCTTAAAAGCAAACACTAACATGACACGTGCACATAATAATTTCCCTATGAAAACTTTGGACTGCTGGGTGGACTCTAACGCCTTCCGAGACTACCTCACGCGCCGCATCGTCACAGATTCCGGGAACGTACACCAAACATAATGGCAACTAAAAAAACAAGGAAAGAAAAATAATATTACTCTACCACAAACAACAAAGTGGTCAGTCCAGCACTTTTTCTTCCTTTGACAAGCTTCGTCCTGCATACATAATGTCTGAACACAATTAATATTGCAGCGTGTACGATGCACAAAAAACAGGACATCTGCGGCCCCGCGTCTTGCGGGAGTTTGCCCTCTTCGAGATCCCGGGAGGGGAAAAGAAAAAACAAACAAAGAAAATGGTGCAGCGAAGAAAAACAAGACTGGAGGCACTTTTCTGTCGTTCTTCTCTTCCCCCCTCCCTCAAAACCTTCCAAAACTCGCGAGAGTCCAAAGAGAAAAAAAAAAAGAAAGGCCGCTTAAATAATACATTCTTCTTTTACTACAAAGTCCGTTGGAATAAAGGGGTGGCCTCAGCGTCCAGTCCGCACGACGACCCCACCCTCTCGAAGGGAGGCGACGCAAAATCTCTCCTTGCTGACAAAAAAGACACGGCCCCCGCCCCCCGAAGCTGCGTCCGTCGATGGTGCAGACGATTCCGTAACAAGTCGCTACAAGCGCAGAGGGAAGGCGGAACAATCACAAAATGGGAAGTCGAAATCAAGAGTGGGGGGACGGCCGACAAGGCGGGAAAGATGAAAAACAACTGGCCGGCATTGCCGTAATGGCACTTTGTAATAACCCACCTTCCGCAGCTCCGGTGGTGAACAGCCTCATGAGACGAGTTGCGTGACCCTGGAGATTGCGGAACTCGGAGGGCTACGAGTCTGGTTCACACACTTGCAGCCGCTCACACACAGAAAGGCTAAAAATCGGTTATTAATCCTCTCACGACTGCTTACAACCGTCTGCACAGCGTAAACAGTCGTAAGGGGCTTAACGACTGGCATTTTGCCTCTGGTTGTAAGCAGTCGCAAGCGTATGAACCAGACTTGACCTTCGGCCCATGAAAGCTGCGCAGTTCCGAGGCAGCGCAACCTTCCAAACTTGCACGTGGCGGCACAATCTGTCAACTCCTTGGCAGACGGCGCAGTGGGAGCCGTGTGCAGGTTGGACCGATCGATTCGGCCTCCCAACGCAATGCCTACGGCCGATCGGTCCACGAAGCACGTAGCACCCACTCGCCCTCGGCTCGTAGCGGACCGTTGCCGGGCAACCGACAAGATTCGCACACATAACCAAACAATCAATCCACCAGACTCGCACATGTGACGAAGCACCTCGTTGGCAACCCCGTTCGTGTTTCGGCGGAAGACATGCGTTCGCACGTCGCCAGACGACGTTGGAGAGTCGTGGAGCCGGCCAACAATGTGCTCTTGTTGCGTCTGTTAGCGAAGAGTGCCGAGCGCTTGCCCGGCAAGACCGGCCCTTGGATTTCAGCAGAGCTCGATGAAGGCAGGTGCACTAAAATCGGGCCCCATCCTCCCAAGACGTGCAACCACGCGACTCCGCAAAGTGCAAAGACGCATAGTTTTGCGGCGTTCTGGAAATGCTCATGGTGGATACCATGGAAAAGCAGAAAAAAGAAAGGAAGCCCCGCCCTTTGACATCAGGGGAATGTAGTCACAATCGAGTGACGGCAAAGATTAGGTGGGTGACTGAAGCTTCAATTTGATTGCACTGACAAGTTGGTCTGGATAGAAAGAACCACATGGAGAAAAAAAGAGCAACGTCCGGTGCAATAAAAGAAGGGAGTCAAAAAAACCGATGGTTCACGAGAGCCGGCCTGTTATTCCACCGATGCAATGCTTCTATTTTGGGATGTGACACTAACTGATGGCCATCCACAGTTACAAGGAGTGCAGTTGCAAATGTGCATGTGAAAAAAAAAAAGATATAAAATCCAGCCTGTCAGAGACACATTTGAATGGTTTTCCCTAGATGATTGTGCATCCCACAGAAACAGGAAGCGCGAAAATATCTGATCACCACCCCTCGTCTTTTTCGCCCAATGTCTCAAGCAAAAACAGCGCTCCGATTAGACTGTGCCCTGCATGGTCTGGAAAACAGATCCACGCTTGCCTATGCAGAAAGCAAGTCGCCTGCTTTTTGCGCAGGGATTGCGGTGATGTCAGAACGACGCTGAGCTCCGATTGAAAGGATAGTGGGTGGAGCTCAATGCTAGATGCCTTGAGGTCTACCCAGTATTTTATTTTAATCAGCCAAAAAGAGCACGGTGTTCTGACCTCATCGCAACCCCTGTGCAAGAAGCAGACGAACTTGAGCTCCACATTAATATACCGTCAACCTTTTTCCCCAACCGGAAGCCAAGAGTCCAAGCTCGTAACCCTGAAAGATGGTTTCGCTTCCCATCAACAGTGCACACCCAAAAGCTAAAAACGTCAAAATAACAGACACTGACCAATTTTGTAGCGCTTAATCTAGTCACCTTTGTAGCTAGTGTGTTCAGGCTCGCAACTCATCTTTCCCACTGTTGCTGCAATGACGCAAGTTTTACTCATCAATTCCAATTTCACGAGCCATTCCACGTCTTCCGTGATGTGACCTCGAAGGTGCAAGAGACAAAATAGACGAGCTTGCACTGAAAAGCTTTCGCTTCAGTCAGAGAATCGTGAATGAGGTATAGATTTTGAGTCAAAGGCCCGCTGGCAAACATTTAACAACCCCCGTTCACAGACTCGACAAAAACAAGCCATCAACTACCTGGTCACATTTCAGCAGCAGTGACTGCCGACAAACACATTTGTTTGTTGTTTTGTTGGCGACACGGGGGCAGGGTTGCACTTCGCAAACGTTCGAGAAATTCTACTCGCAGACACGACAACAAAATGTTGGCAATCCAACCGTGCCTCAATGACCAGTGCGCCCGCCACAAATTGCCAACGCCAACAAATCACTTATCTTTCAAAGAGTTCTTAAAGCCGTTCACATAGCACCATTAGTTTACTTTGCGTTACATTACAGGAGCTTACGTCTTTATTACGTCGAGTTCGGACTGCAAGTCCCCGGGACATTCGTGTTGCGATTGAAGCATGCCAACTAATGCGCCGAGAAACTGAGGGAGAGGAGGAGACGAGAGCCTGCATCTGCACTGCACTCGTCGGACGAGTTCGAAAGTGAAAGCCAATGGGGGATTCCGGTGTTCCACGTTTTAATCCGTTCAATGAGTGCGGCGGAGACGAAAGCAGCTGGCTTTAGGCCTACCCACTAATCAGTCCAACCAAAGCTTGACGTTCCGACGTTCTCCTCTCCGTCAGTTTTTCGGCGCATCCGACGAGTAACTTTGCATACAACAGATGAAGCACAAACGTCCCGGCCACTCGCGGTCACAATGCAACGTAATACAATGCAAGCAAATGCTCCCGCTCAAATGAGCTTTTTCCTCCTCTTCGTCGGCGGTCGGTCAAACGTACGCCGGACGAAGCCGGCCACCCTCTCAACAAGGGGCTTTTCTTGTCGTGTCTGCAACTAGAGTGCGTCGAACATTCGCGGGGCTCGCTCCCGCACGTGTCAAAAGAGACTTGCGGCACACGACGTTTGAAACAAAGGCGGGGCTCCAAAAGGCAGGGCAAGAGACAGCAAGGGGCCGGTTGCAGCATAGTGCGTCAAAACCGTCGAGATAAGTTCACTCCTCTTCGCGTGAATGACTAAAAAATGTGGCGGGCAACGTCGCAGGACGTTGTGCTGGGGCAGCATGGGGGCAGCCACGGCGGGAAAAGTCGCGCAACCCTCGGCGTCGACCTTGTCCGACCCCCAGACGCGCACCACGTGATCACAGGCAAAAGGAGGCCACGCCTGATTGCGTGACCCTCCGAGTTCCACCCCTCCGTCGCCACCGGCCAATGGGAGAAGAGCGTAGAATGGGCAATCGCGTGCGGGCAGCCGCACCGCTCGCGTCTCGCTTGCGGCACCGTTGGAAGCATGGTCGGGCGGGCGCAAACACCGTTTGTTCAGATTCGAGACCGAATTTCGAGCACCGGACGAAAACTCCGCGAACGCGTTGCTCGTAGTCGTGGGTATGCGAGGTGACGAGCCAACGTTTTTTGGGACGTAATCAACGGAGTTTGAGGTCAGAAAATTTCTGAAAGCTTAGGCATGCTCATTTCTCTAAAGATAGGTAGTTACCCTTTTAGAGCACAAATACAAAACAAATGTCTAGTCCCGCCATGCAATTGGAAAATGTATGCTATGACATTTTTTATTGTTAAGAAATTTTTCAAAATTTTAGATGGGCATTAGAAAGTGCATGTTTTTGTGACAGTGTACTGCATACTGTGCCTGCCTAGGTAGAAAAAACAAACTGCTGCTTCAAGCTCGGTTACTAAAAGCGAGCTAATTGCGCCACATAGAAATTTTGTAATAAAAAATTTCACGCATTTGTAATCAAGCAAGCTTGTCTAAGCGCCCACGAGTACAAGAACAGGTCCGCACGTCTGCTTTCAGTCTCTCACTTTCATGACTCAAATGTCGTTCCTAAACTGATGTCCCTCGTATCAATCTTAAGACAGACTTCGGCGGCCAGCGACTATATGGCTATGAGAACAGAATGCCTTTGATATTTGTCTAGAAGACACAATTCACTAATCATGCTTTAACGTTTTTTTCTTTCCTCGAGACTGAGACTAATGCCCAAAATGTGACAATAATGAGAAAGCCCTAGGTTGATGCGTTCATCGGGGCCTTTGAGCTCAAAGGTGCTAGATGAAAGGCGTCGCACTTACCCATAAAAACCCTGAAAAGTATGGAAGATAAATTAACGCAAAACAAAAACCACCAGAAGTGCTAAACATCGCAAAGCTGCCGACGCGACTTCCACAAGCGTTATTTGACAGTATGCTGGCAAGAAGCAAGCTAACGCTGCTCTTCCGTCCATGACTGCTCGATACAGCTGAAGTTGCCAGACCGAGTCGAACAGAATCAGAAAGAACAGACCGTTCACACCGAGGTTCACATTAGCAAAACAATTTGGCTTCATTCTCGCACCGCGTGCGAACTGTACAGTTGACCGTGCTAGATCGGAGATGCAGCCTCCAGAAAGGGGCTCCACCCATCCTTTTGTCATAGTGCACGGTAAACTAGCCTAGGAAAACTTTATCCAATTCCTAGAACAATAAAACGTCCCAAAAAACTTGAAAATGCTGTCCAGACACAAACGGAAAAAGCACCACTTTTCCGAAACCTAGCAGTCCGTTCGACGGCTCGTAGCGGTCGATAAATCGAGCATCCGCGCTCAAATGGTTCCTCACCAGTGCTCGGAAAGACCTGAGTATTCCTAAAGTCGAGGCGCCAACGGCCATTGCCCACTCTCCACCCCTCGCCGCACACTCCCCGGCGGCGGAGGGGGCGGAAGCGTCCCCCCCACCCCCCCCCCCCCTTACCAGTCTGTATTTACATAAGGCAATATGTGAAGCACGTCACCCCCCAGCGACTCCGCCGTGGTCACCTCCTCCCAGCCGCGCCAGGCGCCCCCGTGGTCGTACACCCCGTTAACAAACTCCCACCGCTCCGTGGCAAAGCGTTCCTCCACCGCGGGGGTCACTTCCATCGGCGGCCGCGGCGCGTCCTCTTCCTCCTCTTCCTCCTCCAGGTTCCCGAAGGAGCTCAAGTCCGGGAGAGCGCTCAGGATGCTGGCGATCTCGCGCGACACCGGACCGTTGGGCGGCTCTCGCGCGGACGACTGGAGAAAGCGGTCCATTAACTCCGACTTAGTCCGGCTCGTTTCGTCGTCCGTTCCAAGGAGGCTGTAGTTGCCCGCGCGCTTCAACGGGCGACGCGACGCCGCGTGGCGTGTCGCCGCCGGCGTTGGCGGAGACAACGTTGGAGGCACTACCACTCCGTCAAGGGACACGTTGGCGCCGCTCTTGGCGCGGAGGTCGGCGATCAGCTGCTGCGTCGTCTTCACCTTGGGCATGACGCGGGGGGACGTGACGCTGGTCGTGCACTGGCTGCGGCGCACGCTCTCGAACGCGGAGTTGCCGCTGGGGATGGAGGCGTCCCAGACGGCGGCTGCGGTGGCGGCGGCCGTGGCGTGGACCCCGTTGGGGGGTGTCCACGGGACGCCGGAGGAGGCCCCCGACGCCGTTGCGGTGGTAGCTGCCTTCTTGAGGCCATCTGCGGGAAACGGGGTAAGACACCATTAGCGCACTTCCCGGACTTCCTAACATGAACCCAAACCCAAACTCCTGTTCAGAATACAACGACTTCACTCATAAAATTTAAAAACATGAAATATTTCACTCGTACCAGTGCCTTTTATATACTTTCCGTGCCTATCAAAAGGTTCGCTCGACGCCGTTACCTCCTACGCTCGTGGTGACCACATGAGGGCACCAGGTTAGCAGGGTATGTCATCATCATGTGTAGGATTCTGGATTCGGATTTTAATTCTGCGGCTTCCCCTTTGTATCAGGTATCAATGGTAGATACTGGATCCAGCCAGTTGCCTCCCCCGCAGCCCGTCTGCTTCGGCTGCCTCGGTCCGTTTTGCGTTTGGCACTCGGCGGTAGAAGTCGTCTGCCTGGGCTTCGCCGCAAAAATTAGTTAAAGTGGCCAAGAAAAAAAAGAAGCCTGTCGGGCTTTCTTTTCATACTGTCCCCCGCTGACATTAATTCGAAAAAAGAGTGGCTCGCTGGAATCCAATGAAAAAACTGGACACCGAATGACGCGTCGTGCTACACCAGAATATGCAGCGAGCACCAAAACGCACGCTGTCTGCTTCTTCCGAAATAGCGGAACATTTAACTACAGTTGAACCTCTTTATAACGAACACTGATATAGTGATTTATCGGATATAGCAAACTAATCGCAAAGTTTGGTTGGTCATGCTTTATTTGGATGGGAGTTCTAGTTATATAACGAAACCGAAACCATGAAATCTGACGTGCTATCAGTTATAGCAAAGCAATTCCTGCTTTTCTTGCATCATAAAATACTTCGAAGGTTATTAAAAAGTAGAAAAAATACAAAAAGGAATTTCTAAACGAAAAATTCGGGAAGTTTAGATTGCCCAATGTGCAAAAATGTGAGTTTCGGGAGGTAGCGCCACCTAGGAACCGAGCGAATATCGGCGGGTGCGCCGCTGCTAGTTTCTATGCGAGGCATCAAGAACCAGCGCAGACTAAAGCCAACTGCCAACTACGCCACTTGTAGTGGAGCTGCAAATGGCGACAAAGTGAAAAGCTGTTTCTCTGGAGACAAAAGTGAAGGTTTCGAGGGTGGTGGAATGCGGTCGGAAGAAAAAAGACGTCAGTGCAGACATAAAGTTTGCACCAAGCACGATGTCTACCAGGGTTGGGCAGAAATACTCAAAAATGTATTTGGAAATACAAATACTGGGATACATTAAAATAGTAGCTAAAATACTGATACTGCAATATATCTGAAAAAGTGTATCCCGATACGTATCGGAAATACATTTTAAAAACAGTCAAAAAGTATTTGGAAATACAAATACAGGGATACATTTTAGGGAGGGCGGAAATACAAATACAGAAATACTGATACTGCAATACATTTTTCACATTTGTTTGAGACGCCAACTGAGATGATGCTTGAAAAGCAAGTTTTTGATCCCCAAATTACTTTCCCGTAGGCTTGGCACCTTGCCTTGAAGGTAGTGAATTCAGACGACGAGGAGTCTTCAAAGGGCTCGAAAAAACGTCCGTCAAGGACTGACCGCGGTCCCTTAGCTGACATCCTGTCTGTCTGACGAGGGATGCGAAAAGACTTTGACCTCTAAATAAATTTTATGTCATTCTAAATCACATCAAAGCGTCACCAATTGTGAACTGTCAACATTTATCACATGACGTCACGGTGGGATGAACTGGTCTTTTTTATCTGCACGTGTGGCCTTGAACATGAAACTTTACCACGCTGCTGTATGAAAGGACAATACGTACTTTCGTTGTAAGTTAACTGGTTGAAGATCGTGCAGGCAATGTCATTTGGAATTTTTGAGAATAGTAGACCACCTGAAGCATTCTGAAACACATGTCTTATCTTCTGTTACGGTTGAAAAGACTATACGGTAGCTTCTCTGTTCTGAAGGTCCTTACTGCCGACCCTCCGCCACCGACGCACGGATTGCAGTCCTCAAGCTTTGCCTAGCATTATCCAAACAGAGACCTCGTGGATTGCGAGCTGATATTGCCGGCACAGGGGCGAGCTGTCCGAGAAACAGCGGTCTCGAGACGAGTCGCGGGAGTACATAGTCTAAGATGGTACAGCGAGCCCAGTTCCGGCCTCCTTCTGGGTTTCGGATCACCAGAGCAGCGGGTCACGTTCACGCCGGCTGATGACGTACCCTTGAGCCGTGCAATATTACGGGCGCAGCCGCAGACGCATTCGAATATGTGTTGAACTTCACTGGGTAAGTCATCCTACTATTTCAAGCCAACCACCGCCAGGCTCGTGCTGCAACGGACTGTGACTCAGCTTTTCCGGCTGGGTGTACTGTGTACGCTAAGGCAAGAGAGGCGGTTAGCAGCGAGCTTTGGATGCCAGCAAACAATGACTCAAGAAACCCCTACCTAAAAACCTGCGGCACAAGATGCTCTGACTCCACTCCTGGCACGCCACCTGGTTCGAGTCGCCGTACTACGCAACACTTCTCAGAAGAGAGAAGAGGACGCATAGAAAAATAGTTTGGAGAACCGAAGGAACCTTGGTCAGCATGGTAACAATGTCCAAGCATCTCCCTGACCCTGGTGCCCTCAGAAGTAAAAAAAAAAAAAAAAAAAGCGTTCTGATTTGTTTTGTTTTTTTCCGGGGGGGGGGGGGGGGGGGGGGGGGGGGTGTATTTCTCAAGAAATGTAACGAAATACATTTCACCCTGATTGTATCGCAATACAAAGGAACATTCAAAACGTATTTCGATACAGGAATACAGATACTGGCGGAGAAAATGTATCGCGATACAGAAATACAGATACAAAATGTATTTCTGAAATACTATCGCGATACATTTGTATCGCGATACTGCCCAACCCTGATGTCTACCATCCTGAAAGCAAGGAAGAAGATAGAAGACTGCTATGCAAACAACACCAGCAAGACTGATCGAAAGAGTCTTAGCCCTTGCCTCGACCCGGACGTGAAAGAGAGACTGTTCTCATGGTTTAAGGACGTAACGGTGTGAAATTTGCCGGTGTCTGGTCAGCTTCTTCAAATGAAAGCAACCAGCCTGGCCTGTCTGTCAGGGTATGATGATTTCATCGCGAGTAGCGGTTGGCTCCAGTGCAATGGCTCCAGGTGAAGAGGCACCAGCCCAAAATCACGTCTTCAAATAAATGGAATAATAGATCCAGCTAGCGTCGTTCCTTGTGTTGCAAATTGATATCCTCAAGCTCCGATCTATTTTCTTAATGCTGCTTTGTGACACGTAAGGATCTCACGGTCTGCGATAGCGTATTTTATATCTTAGTTCTGTGCACGGTTTTGCACGGGCTCGATTGCAAGAAGGCTTGCGTCAATTTTTGTGTGTACTGTTATAACGAATAACGCATATAGCGAACAATTTTCTGCTCCCGATGCTAGTTTGTTACAACGAGGTTCCGACTGTATCAAATAGGACAATCAGAGTACCAGCATTTCCTCAGGACCACCTGCTTTTCTGAATGCACGGGTAGTAAGGTGCTGGCGTACTGCCCGCATATTAAGAACGTCAGCGGAACAGCCAGAACGGATGGATGGATGCGTGGCATCTATCCATCTATCAAAACGACCCCATTTCAGTGGCGCACCTAGCGCCAAAACGTTGCACTTGTGACGACGGCGGCAGCCCATTAATTTCCCTTTTTTTGACAGGCACTGAAAGTATAGACCTTTTCACCCTCCGTCGCATGGCTGCTGCCATCTTGGAATCACGTGATGCGACCGCCATGAGGTGGCTTCAAATCGTCGCTCCTCTCTCCCCTCCTCGCCCTGTCAGAGGCGTAGTATTCCTGTTTTTTGTCGCGTTTTACCACGCTTTTTTTCCTTGCTTTGTGAAGCGCCGTCTGACACTTGTTCTCACTACATAACTGCATGCCATCGTTATGTGCACAACTTCTGCACTTGATTTTAGAGCATGTTTTGACTATTTGCACCATCGGTGTCCCGGAGACGTGCGAGGAAAGGACTCAGCGTTGCTACTGGGTCACATTGAGTACGTAGGTGACCCTAAGGCTCGCAAGGGTTGAGAGGTCAATTATTTATGACAGAGCAGATTTGCTTAAATGATAGTGGCACAGTAAGAAGAGAGAGGTATGTTTATGATCACACATTAATGACCTTAAAGAAGGCAAATATGGTCAAGGGAAGGAGTCGCTGTGCGTTTCTTGAAAGCATCGTGATCTGCTTTCGTAACAAATCCAAAACATTGGCTTTTGATAATATGGGGGGATCATTTTGCGGTATAAACATTCGCTTGATCTGTTTATTTGGAAATTTAAAGGAACTATACACTGTGCTCAGTCTCATGTCTGCAGTCATTCAATTATCTAAGGGGGGACACAACCCAGAAAAAGAAATTCTGCAAAAAAAGTTCATTCAGAAAAATTGCCATATTTAGATCCACCAACATCTAGAGAGTAATCCCGGAAAGTTTCATTAGCTTCCACTACATAGTTAATTTTTTTATAAATTAACTTCGGTCCATTGCTGCTAAAGAAAAAGTAGGGGTTGGAGCACCATGAATGCATTTTTCTCCGTTCCACTTTTCAGCATAAATTTCACTTAAGAAAAACTATTGTTTTCCTATTACACATTACAGAATTACCCTTGGGTGGTTTTCTTGGATAGAACTCGGTGTGGAACATGCCTGGCTGGGTAGTTTTCTTAGTTTAACATTTTTTTTATGCTAAAAAGATATATTTCTAAAAAAAAACACATGTGAATTTTTTTTAGAAATCTTATGTAGGGTTATTTATGAAGAACAATCCAATATAGCAAGATAACTAGCTGGGTATGTGCTATGGGTATTCCTACGACTATATTACACATAAAAAATCACAAATTTTTATTTTATTTTAAAACAATAGTTTTTCTAAGCGAACACACTGACTTCCATATTGCAACATTTACAACTAGTTTCAGAAATGACATAGGACAATGAAATTTGGCAGGGATG